GTGCACAGCGTTTAAAATATTACAAAACCAGAGGCTTAAACTACACACACACACACACACACTTACATTTTAAGTCAATAAAAATTCTAACAAAAATACAAAAAATTTTTTTTTTAAATTAATAGTTATAAAAAAATACCCTACAAATGAAATTAAAATTAATCTGAATTTTACACTAGGAAGAAGTTTTTATTTTAATTGTATTTTATTTCCTTAAAATTAATCACCTTGTTGTATTCCTTATAAGTCACTTTGGGTAAAACATACTCAAAATTATAATAATAATAAAACATCATAAAAATATTTTACTTTAATGGGAAATGGTAACATCAGAAGCCAAAGTATTCCTCATTTGCAAGTCTTTTGGGGTAAAAAAGCTTGCTAAATGAAATGTAAATGACTCTGTGTGTCGAGACTGTCGACACAATCATGATGTTAAGCCATCAGAACAAAAACAACCATGCTTTTGTAAAGGTGGCATTGCACAAAGAGACTGGCTAGAAAATGACCCAATGAGGGAGGTCAAATTTAAAAACTTTCAGTTTTGAACCTGTTTTTAACACTGTCATGATCTGTTCAAGAAGTTTAATATGAATCCGTCTTGTCCACATCAGAACACAACAACACGCCTCCCAAACAAAGAGGCATGAAAAGCGAGTTTGCAGCATGTATGGCGAACTTACCCACAGGATATGAGAACCAGGAACGGTGGCCTAGTTTATTTAAATGCCAGAAGGGGTTGGGTAACTGATTTTGATGGATGGGATGGCGATATATTATCTGAAGGAGGGGCCCGGCGGCTCATGGCAAGTGACGGAGTTAGACAGGTGCAGAGGCTGGAAGATGCCACGTGCATTTACAGATCCTGCCAGAACAGAGTCACACGGCTCGGCTTTTTTAACGCCATTTAGACAGCAGGCTGTTGGAGAAGAAGAGAGGGAGGGAGGCTGCTACAACAGCACAGAGGAAATGAACTGTTCCACATCAGTAAATATTGGAAGGGAACATTTGGAGAATGCCAAAAGACGGCACAAAGCCAACGGGTGTATTTTTATTCATGCCGCGTGACGGCTTAAGGGCATAAGCCAATATAATACATCTGCGATTATGATAAGACTGTCCTACATTATCATAATCAAAACTTTTATTATTATCAGATAGACGGTGGAGAAGGAATTCACTTTCACCTCTAATGTTCTGAAAGGTGCGTCATGCACCGGTGAAAGTCAATCCCAGTTTACTCTGGCAAATATATTCAACACGTTTTTATATTAGCCATGCAAAACTCACTGCCACCATGCTGGGGAGTTATGGACAGTTGCCAGGGTGTTGCTATGTGGTTGCTAAGTTTGTATCATGTGGAAAGGGTCCCATGTGACATTTTGGTTTCTAGATATGGTCTTATTCAATTCTATGCGTTTACATTTTATGAATACATTGGGATTTTTAGCCATTTAGAACTCACCGCCACCATTCCAGGGTGTTGCTATGTGGTTGCTAGGTGTGTATTATGTGAAAAGAGTCCACTGTGATATTCTGGTCTCTAGCTATGGCCTTATTTTATATTACATATTTACATTTTCTGAATACAACACGATTTTTAGTCATGCAAAACTCACCCGATGCTCGGGTGCTAAGATGGTTGCTAGGTGTTTATTTAGTCCGTAGATATAACCTTACTCAATTCTACGTTTACATTTTCTGAATAAAAGGTGATTTTTACCTGTGCAAAACTCACTGACTCACATGCTGGGGTATTACGGATGGTTGCCAGGGTGTTGCTATGTGTTTGATCAGGTGTTCTGAGTGGTGACTAGGTGTGTATTACCTGAAATTAGTCCAGTGATATTTAAGTCTCTAAATATGGCCGTATTCAACATGCATCTGTGGGGGTTTCAGCTGGTTTATCTTCAAGCAGATGGAAATCGTACTTAACAGCATTATTCGATTCCCAACACTTATTTGCTCTCACATATAGTCCAAATAAACAAGAGACCAGTGATTCTTTCATTACAAATGTACATTGTATTTTGCATAGGTGTTATTGTCCTAATTAATGAAGAAGCATAATCATTAATTCAAACAATAACAGCTTGTGTTTAGTACATAACATTTCTTAAACATACTATATATATATATATACATTTTGTCTAGAAACAGTTTGTTGACATGTAAAGATCCTAAAATAAACTTTAGTTACTTTCGTGTACAGAGAATAGACCTCCCTGTTTCTTCACCGTTTGGTGGTTTGGCAATGCGGAGGAAATGAAGGCAAACACTTCCTGTTTTTTCTCTCCGAGTCTCAGATGAGTTGTGCTTTGGCTGCGTGCAAGAAAAGAGTGAAACAGTCCAAAAAAAAGACAAGAAAATCAAGCTACAAATGTAATTTCAGTCCAGAGGCGCTCAAGCCCACCTTCGGCTTCCGGTTCAAGATGCCCCCGATTACTGGTCTTATGGTGGATGGAGTCAGAAAGAGCGGAGACTCAAACGCCATCAATTCCTGTTAAAGATCTTCACACATCTCACATAAATATACTCCCCTGTGTTTGATTCGGATCTTATAATAAACCTACCAGATGTCAAGTTAAACATATGCAGATGTGAGTTATAATCAGGCTCAGACAGAATCTGCCTCACAGTTTTAAAGTCAACATCAAGATATTTTATCTATCACAAATTGATGGGATGATGAACAATAGAGGAAGGTGGTTGAAGGAGAGGACTTGTTTGCGGTGAATATATCGTGCATTAAGTTTAATTTTCTTTCCCAGTTGCCTTTTTTTCTTCTTCTTGTTTTAAGCATAAACCTCACTGAATTCATTTGGATTTTTGCTTAAAAGAGGATGAAACTACTTTCCATTGTGGGAAGGAAAATAAACTTAATTCAAGATGAAAACAAGTTCTAATATCTTATGAAAATTTGTTTAAATGTTTTTATTCAAAAACAAGAAAAGAGCACTGATTAAAAAAATATATAATTATTGCCGTATAATGAGGTCACACAAGGAAAGTAGTTTCAAAGGTCATTTCAAGTTATTTCCGTTTAAAGGGGTCATATGATGCGATTTCAATTTTTCCTTGCTCTTTGGAGTGTTACAAGCTCTTGGTGCATAAAGAAGATCTGTAAAGTTGCAAAGACTAAAGTCTCAAATCCAAAGAGATATTCTTTATAAAAGTTAAGAGTCAACCACGCCTACGTTCTAACACGCCCCCACATGTCTACGTCACTATGAGGGAAGATTTGCATAACGCTGCTCAAATGTTCACGCAAAGAAAGGCGGCGTAACTTTTATTCTCGCTGTAGTATTGTTGTTGCCGCCCGCCATGTCGTGAAGGCGCTGTGTGTTTCGTTGTGAAAGCTAAACTACTTTGGTTGGCTTTCCAAAAGAGGACGATATATTACAAAGACAATTTTGTTTCCTCTCTAGAATAACGTGCATTGGTGAATCATTCACTATAAAAAATAAACAGGGTCAATTTTGATTTCATGTTGACTTCCTAAAAACACATTCTGTCCAAGCCTGATGATAATTGACCCCTCGCCAGTCCAACTATAGCAACTGTTGCCGAGTACCATATTATCAGACAAGCTCTTGATCCTTTCTAATGTAAGTCTATAGAGGATCTGTCTGAATAATTTTAAATGCATTTTTTCAAATCTTTAAATAAACCTTGAGTAATAAATTAAACTGTCAACCTCATTCCCAAATTAACATTGTAGGATGTCAGCCAGAATTACCAAAAATAACTTAGTTTTTAATTAGTATTTTTGACTTGTTTAAAAGTCAAATCTAAAACTATCTGACAGTATCTACTTGAGAAGCAACACTGCATAAGATAAGTTTTTCATAGACGCCATCTTTAATATAGGAGTATTCTTACTGCACTGACAGATTTTTCCATTTGTTTTCAACTTGTTTATACTTAAAACAAGTGAAAAAATATGCATGGCATTAAGACAAAATACACTCATATTAAAGATTCCTAAAAACAAGTCCTAATAACTTATGCATTGTTGCTTCTCAAGTAAATATATCTGGTTTCAAAGATGTTTCAAATATTTACATTTTAGATGTTTGTACTGGAAAACAAGTCAAAAATACTCATCAAGATTTTTTTTTTTTGCTCCAATACAAATGCATATTTTTTTGTTTTTTTTAGACACTGCAAAAATGATTTATTTGTTAAATAATATTTATTAGTATTTTTGTTTTCTTTTCCAGTACAAACATCTAAACATTCTTAAAACAAGATACATTTACATGAGATTCAAAATGGCATAAAATATAAAATGAAATGTTATCTGAAAAAAAAAAGTATCAAAATTAAGTGAGTTTTTGATTGAAACAAGAAAAAAAAATCTGCCACTGAGGTCAGAAAAATAAGCTTGTTTTCGCTTTGAATTAAGGTTTCCCCCCCTTGTTTTAAGCATAAACTCACTTAATTTTATTACATTTTTCAGAAATCAAGACTTAACATCTTAAGTCAATTTGCTGGCAAAGTAAATTATTCTTGAATTAAAATGTTATTAGATATTTGTACTGGAAAACAAGGCAAAATACATCTTAAGAACATTTTTTGCAGTTCATGCCATTTTATGTGCATATTGATCCAGTTCATATAGTATCTGCGGTAGTAACTAGTTCTGTTCACTTTCACTAATGTGATCAGCTGGGATTGCTTTTCTTTTTTCAGTGACTGCGAGAAGCATTTGGCAGCCTCTGTTCACAGTCTCTGCCGTTTTTAATAAAATGAAATATTGTTATCTGAAAAAAAAAAGTATCAAAATTAAGTGAGTTTTTGATTGAAACAAGAAAAAAAAATCTGCCACTGAGGTCAGAAAAATAAGCTTGTTTTCGCTTTGAATTAAGGTTTCCCCCCCTTGTTTTAAGCATAAACTCACTTAATTTTATCACATTTTTCAGAAATCAAGACTTAACATCTTAAGTCAATTTGCTGGCAAAGTAAATTATTCTTGAATTAAAATGTTATTAGATATTTGTACTGGAAAACAAGGCAAAATACATCTTAAGAACATTTTTTGCAGTTCATGCCATTTTATGTGCATATTGATCCAGTTCATATAGTATCTGCGGTAGTAACTAGTTCTGTTCACTTTCACTAATGTGATCAGCTGGGATTGCTTTTCTTTTTTCAGTGACTGCGAGAAGCATTTGGCAGCCTCTGTTCACAGTCTCTGCCGTTTTTAATCACGTTACTGCGTAATTTATCAGTTTCGGATCCAAAACGGCAGATAAAAGATCCTCTGCAATGTCACGCTTCATTCCAGCCCACGTATGAATAACATCCAATCCATTTCACCACTTCCTGAGCTCATTTTACTAACAATTGCACAGGGACATGCTTGTCTGAGTGAGCAACAGTAACTAAGGAGGGCGTAACTTTTCAAAGAGGTCACATGAGGTTTTAGTGCTTGTTCAACAACTTTGTCTCCCCTACGTTATTAAAAAGTGCTTCCGAACGGAGATGATGAAATAGTGATACGACTGAGTGAACCATCACATGGATTTACTGAAACCAGACAGTGTCATTTTACAGTTTTGCTCAAAGAAAGAGGAATGAAAGTTATGCAAACATTAAAACGGTGGCAGTGCAAAAACCTAGTGAACGCTGTAAATGAAGATAAAAAGGAATTATGTAAAAAAAGTCCAATCCAAATGGCCACAGAGCATTAAGGCTAGAGCCACGACACACATCAACGACAGCTCTGTCAGGTGCGCTATATTACACGAAGGCCTGTTTGTGCCCGGCAGAAAAGATTAGCTTTTACATTCTGAGTGGGTGTCAGAAAGTGAGCGAGGCTTCGGTATCAGCACTGCTAATCCTGGCCGTGTTGTGAAAGTGGGTGTCCGGTGTGCAAGAGACGGTGGAGTTGTGTTCATCTGTGTCAGCATCAGCCGCTCTGAATGTACTTCTTAATAACCACGCAGCCGTGTCTGAAGAGCGGGCAGGGCATGCTCTGCTGCAGCGTCCACACGTTTGCACAGGAGTCAAAGGCCTCCATGGTTCCCAGCGCCGGACCCTCGCTGCTCACGATGCCGCCGGTCACATAGATCTTCCCATCCAGGACCACCGCACTGGAAAAGACGTTATTTCAGAACTAGCTTAGTTTCTTTTTTTACTACGGATTTTCACTTTTTGAAAAACAAGAACATATACCAGAACCACCTAGAACATTTAATAAAAAAATAAAAATAAAAAAAGGATTTAAAAAATAAACTTATACTACTACTACTACTAATAATAAAAACAAAAAAGAAAGATAAATATATTTAACTTAACTTATTATTAATTCTTATTATTAAAACAAAGATAAAACAGCAGAAAAAATATAACAATAATTAAAACGATAAAGAAAGATAAATAAAATAAAATAAAAGTGATAACAATGACAATAAAAAATAATATATAATAGAAAAAAACAATAATAACAAATATACAGTGGCACAGTAAACCAGGGATATTATGCTTAACTAAAACTAAATCAATAAAAAATGTTACTTGAAATAAAATAAACATTAACTGAACATTAACTAAAAAATATATATATATTATTTTATTTCAGCTAGTTGCCAAGGCAACATTTCTCCTTTACATTTAGATTAACTGAAAGTACTAGAATTGAATAAAATAAAACAAATTAATAAAAAAATAATACAAATTATACAGACATTAAAAAATATATAAAATTACACAAACACAATAAAGTTACTAAAACTTTAACTAAATTAAAGTGAAATCAGAAAATACTGAAAAATATTACCAAAAATTATAACAGATTATCAATGAGAAACTGTCTACACTGATGTAGACTTTTATACACTATAAGCTAACCCAAAACTGCTAAGACATATAGGGTTATAAGTCTTGGCCTGTCATGCTCCTCTTAATGCAAAACCTTGTTCGCTGGTTCAGTTTCTGATGTGGACCGAACGAAGTACTAAAATACTCTGGCAGTGTTTGAGTTGTGAATTGGCACCAGATTGAGTAGTTCCCTCAGATTCTTGCCCCTAGGTATTCGAGAACAAATTTCTGGATTTCGAACCACATACTGTACATAAGTGTAATGATAAAGATTATGTTCCTATTTTCCATCTTACATAAAGGCTCGATATTGAAAAACTGTCTAACTGATGGATGAGACGAATCATCTACCTCCTAATCTTCTCTTTGGGCCATATTCATTTCAAGCCCTTGACAGGCTTCCAAATGTTAATGCAGAAACTCATGAGTGTGACTGTAACTGACGTGTCGTTTTGGGAAAACATATTTGTATCACAAATACACAGTGGAAGCGTAAAAGGTGCCTGTGTGTGTTTTGAGGGGACATGATGCACTAGCGATTGTTCGGCGGCTCGTTTGTGCTTCATCTGCTGCTGAGCTAATTGCTGCCTCTGCTGCGAATACCAATCAGCATTGAAAGCAAATCGGGCCCAAAGCACAACCCTGGGGGACACCGAATAAAGTCTTAGAAGCGAGCAGGGGAGGCTTTGTGTAAACTGGAACACATTGCTTTGACAATGTGCTTTTCCCCAGCTTGATCCATCTGCATTCACTTGATGATGGTTGTTAATGCTCATTATGTTCATTAACATTACGTAATGGTAGCAGTTATGGGGTGAGAATTGCATTTTTTGGGTTATTTGAAAGCGACTGCAGCACATTTGCATGAACTTGTTGCTAAATGAATAACGACAATAACAATAACTTAGTTAAAGCACTAAAACTTAAAAACAAATGCGTTTTAGACAGCTGGAGTGGGAGCCTGTGGTGCACTATATATCACTCGATTAAGAGAGGCTGTAAAAAGCAAGTTTTAAGTACTGTTTTCGACTAACTAAAGCCTCTAAAAGACTCTAATCTTCACTATAAATGCTTGATCTGAAGAAAATGTAAGTGGCGTTCATATGAAGAAGCCTCAACAAGACACATGATTTGAGGTATAATTCAGGTGTGTAATACAATATAAACTGAGCAACTACATATTTTCCAGTTTATGGGACCGTTTGAGTCGTAATTACTAAGAAATGAAGTGAAACTATATAAAACCATGTTAGACCAGCAGAATCCCCTAAATGTTAGTCAAACAGTTGTGTGAATATAGAAGTTCAAATGTAACAATGCTGCTGAAATGTTTAGGATTTGTGAGTTTTCAGCACACATTGCAGTATTAATAAATCTAGTTACTGTTATAGGATAATTGTTGTACTATATATGTCATCTTTTTACATTTATTGATTGTCACCATTCTTGAGGTTTGTGTTTTGACCTAAATATGAGGTCTATGTGTAGCTTTGTAAAACTATATGCCAAATATCCTTGATTTGTAAGCATAGCTGACCTTACATATTAGATGTCCTATATAACTATACAGTGGGGAAAAAAAATATTTAGTCAGCCACCAATTGTGCAAACAATAAAATAATTAATAAAAAAATAAATTATATAAAATATTTATTCATTTATTGTATATATTTATGTTTATACGTTTTTTGGGTTAAATAAAATGAAAATCTGTATGACAAATGAAAAAATAATCTTTAATTATTTAATCTTTCATAATTATAAATAATTATTATTGCATTATTGTAATGCAAAAATATCTAAAAATATGTAATACATGCACAAACATAGAAATATATCTAATTTAAATTAGAATTTCCGTA